GCATATATTCGCGTATTATTGTCTTTTCTAGCTGTCGACTAGTTTGAACAGATACCGAAGGTGTTACTTGCTTTTGAACTGATTATCCTGAGAATCCTGTGTAGGTTGGTTGGTTTCTTTACTACCCAGCTAAGCACGTTGCTCTTGAGTCTCTTCTTCAACATCGAAGAAGACGGTTTCACAATCACTCTCGAAAAAGGTATCCATACTTATTTATACGTCGTTAAAAGTCAAGTAATTTAGTATTGGTTGTGAATTATGTTGGATAATTATCCTAAGTTTGCTAGTATTGTATTATTCTTTTTGGAATGTGTAAAATTTTCGTCTGTTCAACTAACAAGACACGTTTATAGACTCTAAAATTCCTAACCCGAATTTTTTTAAGATATTCAAGATATTTCCATTATCAACACGTGACTGTCATGTGTTAGTGAAAGATTAGATATGGTTGAAATAAATATATGATTAAATAATCCATTGATGGCATTTGGATTCTGAACATGCCTACAGCCGGACTTTTACATGTAAATCTCTACAGAATTCCTGGCGTTTAACAAAGGAAGTAACTAACTAATCAACTGTGAATTCTTTTTCTTCGCTCGCCCAATAGGCGTCCAAATTTTAATGGTGCAGTCAGCAGAACAAGACGCCAATATCGGATCAATCGGATGGAAATCAACTGCGTATACAAAGTCTGTGTGACCTTCGAGCCGTTGAATTAATTCGCCGGTACCCTAATAATGAAAAATGATGTTGACGATGAAGTTTGATCATTATCAAAGAAAATTTTGGATAAAAATCATTGATTAATGTTACCTCTGGTCCGCCTACGTCGTAAAGGTACGCATATGGATCTGCACTGCCAGTGGCTAGCAACAAACTTGCTTCAAGTGTCTTATCTTTAACGTATCTATTCAAAATCGGTCATCTATTTTAAGTTTTGTCTAACATCAATAATATTTTTTTATAATCGTCAAAAAATATGATGACTTACGCGGTATTATCTTGAGTAACCATCTGTAATTTTGTATTTCCATACACATCCTTATGTGTCGATCGTCTCGCCTCCATTGAGCTCTGATCTGTGAAAAGTTTTGCTTTATAAATAAAAAACATTCTTTTATTCTACGATAAATCTTTTCAATACTAACATTCTTTTCCTTGCAAGAAAGAGCTCTTGATAGGCCATCCTTTATTCTTGTACCCTTTCAAAGCATGTAACAAACGCAGTTGTGATTTTGTCAGCTGGAACCCACGATCGTACACCCTTATCACTATATTTGATTGAACATGTATTATATAAATTCAGTTGAGTTCCATCATTGATTAGCTTTCTATTATAAGAAAACTATAAAAATCTCACCATTATCGTAGCTATTGACTGCCATGTGTCGCGGCTCTTCATCATCTATTTAAAAGGAATATTTATTATATTTATGTTCATGCTACATATCTATTAGTCACCTATCGTCCACTACGAGAGGTTGAATTAATGGATTGATTAATTACCAGTCATTTTGCGATTGACTGCGATATGCGAAATAGGTTTCTTGGTCTGTTCATTAAGAATTGTTTGAAAGGATGAGCCTATGTTGTTACCATTAAGAATATTTACATATGATAGTATTGAAATTATACGCTAGTATAATATTTAACATTAAGAGCGAATTTCCTTACCGGTTCTTATATCCCATGTTTTGATGTATCCCATTGAATCTCCAGTGATTATATTCTGTCCGTCGCTACAAATATAAAGTGAATTTATCATTCCATCGTTTTTTATTATTATAGCTCCGTCGCGCCTTCGCCTATCAATAACTGCTAGCATTTTACGTGTGGTTCCACAAGCGAAAAAATTGTTGTCTAAGATGCATCACGAAAGTATCGATTAGTAAATTACACGTAGATCCATAAACATTCAAATAATACCTTGCGGATCGAACATCACGCACTGCACAAATCCTTCTGTCTCGAATGAATAAGTGTATTTGTTGGTCTCCAGATCCCAGGCCTTACATGTTTGATCGTAGGCACCAGATAAGAGTGTTGTAGAATCATTTGACCAGAATACGTCTGATATATTGAGTGTATGGCCTTTTAGACAACTAGTCTTTTTTTTGAATAAATCGATAAATTTTCTTTTATGCATATAAATGCGAAGTGAATCGTCCCATCATGCCAACAAACCTCTTTTTGAAACGATATCGTATCCCATATTCGAACAGTTTTATCAAAAGATCCGGATGCAAGCATTTTACCGCACGGCGAAAAACGAACCGTATATACAGCCCCGCCATGGCCCTGTCATCATTCATAGAAAATATTAATTTATGTAGTGTTTTTACATAAAGAAACGAGCCTAAATTGTAATTATTAAAGAATTGGACCTTGAGCTCTGATTTTGGATGAAAAGTCCTTCCTTCACGAAGTTTATCACGTGTATTGTTACCTTGGATCAATTCAATAGAATTATTCTCAAAATCGAATAAAATCAACTCATTCAGTATCTATCTACCTGCTGTCGAATTCTCCATACTAATTTCCTTCGTGACAGTCCCAGAACCCCCATTATTATTCGGCGCAATAATACCCACAGTGCCCAAGCCTCCAACACCACTATTATCTTTAATGGGTGGCTCAAAATCAAAAACAAAAGGGCTCGCTTTTGAATGAGCAGTAGCGGCCACGCTATAAGTAACCGATAAGTCATATATAGATTTCTTCAACAACATATTTTCTTTTTCGAGCGCGTCTACTTTCTGTTTTAGTTGCTTTGTTTCCTTGATTAATTTTTCAAGTTGGTCTCGATCTGTGGTTGTTGCTGGAGTTTTTTTTAACGGTGCCTCCATATCTGCTCGACTCCGAGATTTAGGATCAAAAAATTTTAGGATTTGAATGGGTGTCGCGAAGACAATCAAGTGGGGAAATAGAAATGCATATTTTTTACGTATGATCAGATGATTAATTAGGAAACATGTATCCCAAAAGTGAAATTTTTTTCACTTTCAATTTTATTATTGTACTTTTTCGCGATAGTAATAGAATGATATAAATTATATATAGATGCATGCAATTGATGATAATTGTGTAATGATATTATTCAACGACCGCCAGAAATTCGACTCTTCATTTTCATTGACATGGATTTTTTAAATCCTGAAATCATTTTCGATATGTCACTGTATGTTTCGTTGTTTAAAATGAAACGATCTGGTCTTATACTGCCAACCTATTAAAAATATATACATATTAACTTTGTTTGAAAAAAATACAAGATTTCAAATATTTGTATATTTACCCAATGGGACTTCGTCCAGTCTGCAGATAATTTATATCCAAGATAAAAATTACCCGGATTTTTGCGGTCCAAGTAAAAGCCGTAAGCGCATTGTCTTGGATTCGCTGTTATAGATGTTTCTATATACGTTGCTAAATAAAATATCATAAATATAAGCGAAATATATACCATAATTCAATTTAAAAATCAAATAAATATCAAAAGTACCAAGCTCATCTGCAGAGTGTCGATACTTTGGGTGAGAGCACAACTCTTCGACTTTCCTCGAAGAAGCTTCAATATGCGTTACGATTAATTCATCAATATCATCGTATTCATAAGAACCCACTTTAAGTTTTTTTGTATTTTTTTCATTGATGACCTCATCAATTTCTAATTAAATAATTAATTTATTATTAAATTGCCAAAATATTTTCATCAGAAAAATAATTAAGAAAAATACAAACCAATGTGCTGATAAATATCGGGCGCTATCTTCCAGGTGATCGCCAGACCTTCATTTCGTTTGGTTCTCGACGGACGAATGACTAAATCTCCAACCTTTTTAGATGCCAAGAATTCTTCTGCCTCCTTATATGTCATCCTTTTATATAGGTAGTGGTCGATGCTTTTTGGAAGAACGGGCATTATAAGTTTACGAGATATATCTACAGGATAAAAGAATTAGTTTATTAACCTAGAAAGATACTAGTAAACATTTAAAGAAAATTATATTTACCATTTGTTTTATCTAATGAGAATCTAATTTCAGCATCTCGGTCATAGAACGGATCTTTTTCAACTGTTGGAATTTCCATACATTTCTTTAGAAACGATTCACGACATGACAGTTCACAAGAGAATTTTGTTTTATCTATTCTCAATATCGCGCAGTCGATTACTTGTCCTTTCGATAAAACTTGACTGGCCTTGTGAATATTTTCGTCAGAAATATTTTTAATGTTGATGTATCCATCGAGCCCCGATTGTGTAAGCCTTCCTTTGGCGTAGTTATCCTCTACGCGGTATATTTCCACTGCAACAATCATATTAGGGGAAAGAGTCTCATCTTTCATTAAAAAGTCAAATTGTTCATCAGTGGATAGCTCAGGAAATTTGTGTCGTTTATCAGAGTATGGTTTTGAAAGTTCGTTCTGGATATTGTATAGAGCAATCTTACGAGATGTACTAAACATTGTTTTCAGTACATCAGCAAACTTATCGAGGTTTAAGATATTGAGTTTTTTAGGATGTTTTATTACATCTTCGATAATCGCAGATGTATCCTTATGCCCTTCAATAAACTGCTCATGTTCTACATCTAATGCATCAGCCGCCATCTTGATAGCTAAGTCGTAATCATTGGGATGGATACGCGTTCGATCTAGAGGATTAACTGAATCCTCGCCGAATTTTATAAAGCTTGCACAATTTTTGA